CTCCCCCTTCGCCGACTGGCTGTGGGGCAGGGTCTCCTGCCTCTGCCCTTCTGTGGGACACCCAGGAAGGTGCCGAGGTCCAAGCATGTGCCCCGTTCCCCTGGCTCAGGTTCTCATGTGACGCTGTGTCTCACTGAAGACACCACATAGTTGAGGCACTGGATTCCCCCATGGCCAACTGCGGTTCAAGTCCCAGACCTGGTGGCTTCCTCTCTCCCTCTCTCCCTCCCTCCCTCTCTCTCTCTCTCTCTCTCTTTCTTGCATGTGTGCCATATAGCAAATTGAGAGAATGATAATACTAAAAAATAAAGTAATTCTTAAAAATAAAAACAAACAAAAAAGATTACACGTACAGGCCCAGCTAGGCCGCTCGGTGATAACACGCTGCTCGGGCCGTGCAGAGTCCATACGGGAGATGTGCTTTTGGTTCCGCAGTTGGTCTGTGTGTGCTGGCCTCTCCCGTCACCCTGGCTGGCTGGGAAGGGGGCGGGTGTGGGGAGACCATGGCGCCTCTGCCCCTTGCCCCGGCTCCTCCACATTTCTGAATCATGCCCATCACTCTTCATGTGTACTTGCCTTTGCTTCTGGCTAGTCGTCCGGTTTGGAGGACATAGACCTTACCTCGTGTTCATCTTCATGTCCCTGGTGCCTGGCGCAGGGCCTGATGCCCAGTCGGTTCCCAGGAAAGGCTCGCTGAGGGGGTCACGGGGAAGAGTGAAGGGACAAGTGGGACTGTCCCAGCCCAGTCTTCTCAGGCAGCCGCATGCACGTCAGTCGTCATGGTGCTCAGAGAAAGGAGAGACTTGGACCCCTGTGACTGAGGGCGGTCCCATTTGAAGGGGTGAGCATTTGGGGAGGGTCCAGCGCCATGTCACAGACAGAAGAGCCAATGTCAAGGCTGTCCCTGAGACAGGGCCAAGCAGCCGTGCTTACCCAGAGAGAGAGATGAAAGGCAGGTGCCTGCCTGTCCTTGGGCACCAGGAAGTCCTCCCCCCAAGGTGCTGACTGGTTTGGAGCAGGAGAGATGCGCTGAGAGCAGCCCTGGTGCCTGGCAGACCCTGGGTTGTGCAAGGCGTGTTCAGGTGTCTGGCGAAGCAGACCCATGTTTATGACAGTGTCACATGCTAGGCCCAGTGCTGGTCACCTGGGGAAGAGAAAGGAAGGACTGTCCCTGTCCCCAGGTTGTCGGCAGTTGGCAAGGGAGACAGAACAGGAAGGGTGGTGTGGGGGGCATGAAGGGCGGGGATCCCAGAGGTTATGACCGCTGACCCTCCTCTCCTGAGAGCAGCCGAGCTGGCCAGGTGCAGGAGGCAGCGTGCAGGGGCACGTTTCCCAGGACGGAGTTTGTACTGGGCCTGAGGCTGGGGTCCCGCTGGCTGGAGAGAGGTGGTCCAGATCCCACAGGACTCTGGCTGCCGCTCTGAGGAGTTTGAATCCTACCCTAGAGGCAGTGGTGAGCTCAGGAGTGAGGCCTAGGGTAAGACGGCCACGCAGGAGTGCCTTGAAGCTGTGAGGAGAGGCGGTCATGGTGGCTGAGGAGGGCTAGGAAGAACCTCTGAAGCCAGGCCTCGGAAACACCTGGGGGTTGAGGAGGACACTATGGAGGCATTGAAAGGGGTGGGAGGACAAACAGGCAAGCACGGCCATCCAGGAAGAGAGGCCACTCGCACCAAGTTAGGTCAGGTCAGGATTGATTTGTGGCCTTCGGAGTTCTCAAGGTCGAGGTCATCAGTGACCTGGGCAAGTTCGCCGCCGGTGCCCGCAGAGAATCTAGTTTACGGAGGTCAGGACACACACAGCAGGTGGGCAGAGGGCGTCCGAGGGCCTGCCTGCAGATCCTGGCTGTGCGCAGGGACGAGTCCAGGTGAGAGGCAGAGAAGCCTCTCTGTGGGGTGGGCTGTGGGAACTGGGTCCCTGCTGCCCGGCTCACACCTGCAAGGCCGCGCTGATCTCGTCTGCAGGGCGGGGACTCGAGGCCCCGGCAGCACACGTGGTGCCCAGCAGGTGTGCAGAGACGGGACAGCAAGGACATCAGTCTGCCTTGTCAGTGACTGCTGTGGGGTCAGGGACGGGGCGAGGTCAGACGCCCCGTCTCAAGGCTGCCAGAGCAGCAGTGCCCACCACAGGAGGGAGTCAGAGGCAAAAAGACACCGTCCCGTGGACTGTACCCTGAACAGCATCCCTGTCCTATCCAGAGAAGAGAGTGTTGCTCCCCCAGGATGGTTTAGAGCGTACATCACAGAGATGAGATTTGGGAGTGAGGGGTAAGGTTGACCGGGGACCACAGGGACCAGAATTTTCCCAACCACATACTCGATTTTACAGGAAAGTCAGGACAGATTCTCCTGAGGTCCGTGCTGTCGGTCGCTGCTTTAAGTCTCAGGATTCTGATTATGCATCTAGAAACCGAAGCTCGTGCTCACAGGCACAGCCGGTGGGGCACTTGGGGAAATTTGGCCGCTTCCCTGTCCACGCGCCATGTGTGCGTCGCGGCACCTTCGTGTTCCGGTTCTCCATTTGGAGGTTTTAGAGACTCGAGTTAGGTGAGCTTTCCCCGTGTGCTGCTCACGTCTCTGTCCTGGTCTCTGATTTAGCTGTCTCCACAGATAATCAGTCAGGCAAACACAGAGACAGGAGGAAAGGCTCGCTGGACGTCAGAACTGCCAGCTCTCGGTCAACGGAAGGTGAGGAACGAGCAGGGCACATGGCCGTGTCAGCCCGACCACCCTCTCAGCATCACCCCTCGCACTGGCCGCCTCCATTCTCGCTCTCACTCGCCCTTTCATTTTTAAAGGAGGGAGAGACTTGGGGAGAGAGAGCAGTATTTTTGACAGGGTCTCTCCACATTGCAGCCCTCCTGCCCGTTCTCCCAGTGAGCTAGGATGAAAGGCGGGGCCAGCACACCCAGCCTCCACGTGGCCTCAGCCATCCCACAATGGCTGGGCCACCTCCAGGTTTCAAGAGGAGAGAGGACCCGCTGGGAGCCAAGTCTCGTTCATTCCTCCTCCTCCCAACTCCTGTCAGTGGGCTCCATTTGGAACCTTCCAGTGGATCAGGGGTAAAGATGCACTGTGTATTTCACTGCTGGTTTTCTAGACCCTGACGGCAGAGGCCGACATGCTGTGACCACGTGGTGCGTTTGGTAATTCTCGGATACATTCCGTTGTGGGTAGCAGTTTGCCAAGCAAGGTCACCTTCTGGGGTGTGAGTTCGATTTGGGGATTGTGAAAGACTCCTACTAAGCCAGCGTTATTTAACTTCTAATTGAAATTCAGGTTTTCAAAGATCACATAGATGCGTGGCCTGGATGACCTAGTTTTTAAAATATAATCAAAACTGAGGCCAGCAGGTGATGTGTGGTTGGGGCGCTGGACTCCCACATGGCCCAAGGATGAAAGGGGAGGGCTGTGGAGTCCAAAATCCCAAAAGGAGGGCAATGTCGAGGAGAAGGGATTGTGATTTGAGCATTCTTGCTGCGGAGTGCTTTTTCCTCTCCCTCTTGCCTCTGGGAACAAAACAAAACAAAACAAAAAGATTATAATACCTTGTTAACTAGAGTCACCAAATTGTCTAATAGATCTCTATTGTTTGATTTTTATAAGCATGTGTCATTCTCATTTTTTTAAAATTTATTTTAAAGAGTTACTTTTTAATTTATTACTATTTTTAAATTTGCTGTAGGGCACATGCACTCACCAGAGAGAGAAAAGGAGAAAGAATGCAAGCCGCCAGGTCTGGGACTCGAACCCTGGTTGGCCATGTGGGAGTCCGGCACCTTAACCACTACACCACCTGCTGGCCCCACTCTCATTATACTTTCAATGTGTACAAGTCCTTTTATGACAGTGATGAAATAGTGCTTTTTTATTTTTAGTTTAATAACTTCGTTGGGCAAAAGGGAAAGTTGGTGACGATATGGCTGGTCACCAAAATTAGACTTTTAAGTTTTGTTGGGGACCAGTAGATGGCATAATGGTTGCGTCACTGGACTCGCATGTAGTCGACTGCAGTTTGAGTCTTGGACCTAGTGGCTGAAAACACACAAACTCACACTGGGCACGTGTGCATATGTGCCCAAGATCCCAAGAGGAGAATGGAGGAGAAGGAATTGTGGTGTGGCCATCCCTCCTGGGGAAGGATTTCTCACTTTCTGTCTCTGTCTCTCCGGTGAGCACACATACCCTATTGCAAAATCTCTCTCTTCCAAAAAAAAAAAAAAAAAAAAAAAAAAGGTTCTGTGGGTCCCCTAATTTGAGACTCCCTGAGCTGAGTAACCTGGATGTTGCCTCTCCTTGGGCCTCCGTTTCCTCATTAGTAAAATGGGGCTGAGTCATCAACCCGTGGCATAGTCTGTAGTCTCTGAAGGCTCCCAGCAGCAGGGCATTCATGGAGATATGGAGCCTCTACGGGAACGCTCTCCTCCTACCCATCCACTTTCCTTCCCCTCCCTGAGAGGAACCATATTTTGTCTGGAGCAACAAAATATTCACGGACTTTAGAACCTAAGAGTTGCTGCCTGCCTCTGTTAAGGTATTGACCCCATCCGTCTGTCAGTGTATGACAGTGGAAAGCATTGGAGGGTACCTTGAAACTTGTCACCAGAAGCTCGTGTATTGCAGTTCTTGGTGAGTGGAGTGTGGTGCTGCTGTACAGGAAACAAAGAGCCTGTGTGCTGTGGTCTTCCAGAACAGCGTCGCTGCCAGGGAGCAGCAAGCCTATTGTTATAACACAGAAAGAGGCAAACTGTTTGGTCCTGACTCGCTAGATTGTTCCCTGTTTTCTCTCTGGCTGGTGACAGTGAAAGTCGTGCACGTGGAGGCACATGTCCACCCTAGTGCCTAGAACCGAAAGAGTGGTTATGCCAGAACCCAGGCTTGTTGAGAGTGGGTGGGAGGCCCGGCAGCCGTGCAGTTCCAGCCCTGCATGTACCTTACGTAGCTGCACACTGAGGCCTGGGGAGGAGGGAGGTCGGGCCCCCGAGGCTATGAGGACAGGTGCCTGAGCCCGGGCACAGCCTGACCTCTGCATCACTCTGTCCACAGTCAGCTGCCAGAGACGACACTCCTCCATGGCCCGGATACATTCCATGACGATCGAGGCGCCCATCACCAAGGTGAGGCAGCCTGTGCCTGGGTTCCCGAGTGCACAAGCCCCTCGTGGCCCTGGGGGGTTGTCGGCAGTAAGAATACTCAGGTCCGTGCAGCTTCCTCTGAAGAGGGAGGAAGCATGGCGTGAACCTGAATGAGCTGAGCACCGGTGCCAGCCTGACCCTGGCCGCTCTCCCATGGCTGTAAGGGCTGCAAAGCTCCAGTCTTCCCTTTCCTTAACGTAGGTCATCAACATCATCAACGCTGCCCAGGAGAGCAGCCCCATGCCCGTGACACAGGCCTTAGACCGGGTGCTGGAAATCCTCAGAACCACCGAGCTATACTCGCCACAGTTCGGGGCCAAGGACGACGACCCCCATGCCAATGACCTCGTCGGGGGCTTGGTGTCTGTAAGTGTATCTGTCCAGGCTTCCAGCTGCGACTTGCCTGTCCTCGTTGCTGTCTCGGGGTGTGGCGCAGCAAGCAGGGCCTCGTGTGCAGGGCTTAGCTGAGGCCTAAACGCCGCCTTTGCCTAGGTTCAGCGTCTGCTGGTCAAGCTGCGTCCATCCGCTGCCAACCTCCTAAGGGGCACTTTGTTCTGGGTGGTCTGCCAAGCCCATTCCCCAGTGCGCTTAGGGGTTTTGCAAAAAATTAGACTTTAGTTGACTTAGATTTTGAAGATGAAGGCAGAAAAAAAGAAAAACTTATTAACTGTTCTCTAACAAACCGCAGAACAGATCTTTTCCCCTGCCATGTGTGTTTAAAGGGGCTGGGGGCTGGGGGCAGTCCTGTAGCACAGCAGTGTAGTGCCATGTATGGGGCCAGACCCCAGGTAGCCGGCCATGGCCCGAGTCTGTTAAGTTAAACGATTTTGGCCTAAAACAACCACTGTACTCCCACACCTGGGTTCCTGTGAATAAGCCCAGAATCGTACATGTGAGGCTGTTTTTCTGAGCTGGTTGCTAAAATCACACACAATCTATTTAGTTGGCCTTGTGCCAATGAAATAGCTGGCTGATTGACTACCTCTTTGTAGTTACATTGACTAGATTTTTTCTTTCCTAATTACTTATTTAATTCCATTTGTTGTTGTTAATTTGACCAGATAGTGACAGGGAGAGAAAGGGAAAGCGAGAAAGCAAGCTGCCAGGTCCAGGACTCAAACTGCAGTCAGCCACGTGGGAATCCAACACTTTTTAACCACCACACTACCTGCTAGCTCAGACATCCTGCTTTTTAAATCGTGTTAATAGAGACAGACAAATGTAACCAAGTTTCTCTCCCTCACCTTCTCACTCCTGTCTCTGGTACGGCACTTGTACCTGATCTGCTCGCTTCAGTGCCAAGTCGATCACAGGCCTGGCCTGAGTTGTCCGAAATTCGGGGACAACTGCCTGATTTAATTGGTGTTAAGATTTGCTCTATGAAAATTCTATCAAATTTGCCTGGTTTCTTTTTCTTTTAACAAATCCTAATCCTGGCAGATTGAAAAACATAATGAGTGTGAGTGTGCACACACCCCAATTCCTGACAAAAGGAGGAAAGGGGGTACAGCATAACTGTATACCCCACTGGGAGGTTCTCTCTCTCACACACGCATACACAGTGCATGTACACACACACACACACACACACACACACACACACACACACACACACACACACACACACACACACACACACACACACACACACACACACACACACACACACATGTGCATGTACCCTCTGGTGACTAAAAACAAAGGTGGAGGGCCAGGACGAGGTCTCATCTCCAAAGTATCCCATAGACTCAGATGACTTCACAGGTCAGAAAGATTTGGGGGTATCTTACTAAGGGAATCTGGGGCCTCCTTAAGGCGCAGCCTGGAGCCTCCTCCAGCCCGTCTAGTACCAAGCCCTTCCATGGGAACAGCAGCCTGTGGAAGGCAGCACCGCCGTGGCTGGCTGCCAGCTTCTGTCTTGGTCATGAATAAAATTGAGTTCTGGTTCCTGCTTTCCGGTCACCTGATTTTGTAACAGTAAGGCTTAGGAGCAGTAACCTGGAAGGTAGGTTGGTTCCCAGCAGTGACAACACCCGGCTGTGGTCGTGGCTATATTGCCCACCTTAGCTTGCAGCCTGAAGGTGAGGGGTCAAAGTGGGATGGGATGGGTGGGCTGGTGGCCAATAGGGGAGTGGGGAAGAGAGGCTATAGAGGGCGGGTCTGGGCCTGGTGCTGTGGGAAGAGGTTGGAGCTTGGAGGAGCTGGGGTTCCAAGGGAAGCCTGGCGTCCTGGGAATGTTCAGGAGAATGACAAGAGAATGGTGGGGAAGGAGTTGCCCCTGAGAAGTCATCTTGTCCCTGAGTAGGGAAACTCTGGGGTTCAGGGCTGCCCCCAAGCCTTCCTCCCTGCCGGTGACCTGTCCAAGTTCAGCTTCCAGCGGGGCCAGACCACTCCTCCCAGCACCAGGCCGCTGCGCCCCCATAGTGACTGAGCTCAGTGAGGACCGCATGGACCATTGGGCGGTCCTGCCCCATGCTGTCAGCTGTGTACCCAAGGTTTTCACGGAAGAGAGGATACTCACGACTTTTATTTTTGTTCACTTGATTTTTGTCAGGATGGCTTGCGAAGACTGTCTGGGAATGAGTATGTCCTTTCAACAAAAAGTAAGATTTTTATTTTTAATTTTTTGGTTCATAATATCTATAATACTGCAGTTGAGCTTAAGTGATAAAGAGAGTTTCAGATAAAAGTTTTCAAATACTTTTCTCACCTGCTACAAGCTTCTGGGTATGTCATAAAGCCTCGGCCACACGGCCGCCAGCCCCCAGTGCAGTCCTGTCCACCCTGAGAAATTTAGTGCTGTGCCCCTGCTCACTTCATTCTCCGCGTCACGTCGCTCTGCAGCCCTTCACCAGGTTTCAGGCAATATAGTCACTCCCATCTCTCTCCACGATGTGCCTTCGCGGATCGCTCGGGCCATGGACAACGAGGGACACTGGGACTTCAATATTTTTGAACTGGAGGCTGCCACTCACAATAGGTAAGTTTGTGGGGTGCTTGGCTGGACTGGGAGGAGTTGAAGCTGCACTGGGGCTGGTGCCTGCTCGGGGAGAGGGGCTGAGGACAGAGGGCCAGGGCAGGATGATGAGGGCAGCTTTCTGGACGACATGAAACTGAGTGAGTGACTTGATGTCGACAAACAACCGAGGGCGTTTTCCTGTGAAATAATCTTATCCTGCGTAGGTGATAATATGTTGAGATTGCAGTGAAGAGCCCCACTCAGAGCCTAGAAACCAAAATTTATCAGAAGCACATGCACACTTGCTAAGAACTGCCCCCAGGTCTTGGTTACTGGATTGAGACAGGCCTGAGGACAGCCAAAACCCCGTGTGGTCTTCCTCTTCTTGACGTGATCACAGCGAGTAGGACAGGAGATTTGAGCTTTCTAGGAGAACTGTTAACGAAAAGAGGGGTTGGCTTGGCAGATGGAGAAGCCAAGACCAGCCAGGGCTGCCCTTCAGGGTGTCCCAGCAGAAATGTAGCCGGTGGGCCATGGGTGATTCACTGGGGCTCATCCCACTGGGGTGAGCTGTGCCCAAGGTAGGCCCCACTGTGCTCATGCCTACCGGGAGATAACCTGGTGCTCTCCATTCTGTGTCCCCTGGCATGGCCTAGGCGAGCACAGAAAGGTGCTCCTTCTGACAGATGAGTCTTGGAGCACCTGGTTTCCACACGCAGGACATCACATCCGTGTGGGCCAGGCCAAGGCAGTCCCGTGTAAGTCCTGTAATCGCCCCTGGATCCTGCCTCAGCAGAGCTGAATTTCATGAACTTGCGAGCCAAGGGCCAGACGCTGAATCATAGTGGTGCCTCAGGAAGGGCCTCGCATGGTGGCCATGGGTCACATCCTTGGAGGAGACCCCTTGTACTATATCATCCACCTCAATGGTTGAAGTGAATACAGGACCCGTGGAGGTGCCTGGCTCACACGTGGCCCTCAGAAAATGTTAGGCTCTTCTAGACAGGACACCTGGCCGATGACAAGTCGAGATTAAAGGCGAGATGAGGTTCAAGGTGGCACGAGATGAAAACAAGGTTAAAAGGATGATTTTGAAAAGCACACGAATGTAAGTCCGACTCTAAATCAGGAGGGGCAGGGAGAGCAAACCTCATCCCTGCAAAAGAGGGCTGAGGCGAGAAGTGAGGGGGGCAGGCAGCTGTCACCTGCACATTTTGGGTCCCCGAAAGCCAGTAGGACTAGGTCAGTTCCCGCGAGGAAGTCTGGCAGTCACGCCGTGCTGCCCTGCACACGGTCAAGTCTGGCTTGGATTTGCTTGTGACACCTGAACCCACGCGGAACTCAAAACACTTGGCCTGTTAATGGCCTTGTTTTTATATTGTGGATGTTTTTCTCTATAGGCCTTTGATATATCTTGGCCTCAAAATGTTTGCTCGCTTTGGGATCTGCGAATTTTTAAACTGCTCCGAGTCAACGCTAAGATCGTGGCTACAAATCATCGAAGCCAATTACCATTCTTCTAACCCCTACCACAACTCCACACATTCCGCCGACGTGCTGCACGCCACCGCCTACTTCCTCTGCAAGGAGAGGGTGAAGGTGAGCTGCTGTTGGCTCTCCAGTCAGCCGGGCAGGAGCAGTGGGGAAGAGTCAAGGGCCGCTCCTTCCACCAGGGGGTGGGCCTGTCAGCTCAGGAGGAGCCCATCACGGGGCATATTAACTCATGTCGTGATCCCAGCCCGTCCCCAGGGATGGCAGGCAGGATTGGCCTCCAGGGAGAGCACTCTCCATGGCGCCCGCTCACAGTGCAGTCCTCCTCTTTCTCTGCCCTCCTGGGATCTGGGCAGCACATATGCATGCCCTAGTGTTTTTCAGGCTGCCAGGTATGGGATTTGAACTGCACAGTTGCCACATGGGATTCTGTTCCCTTAACCAGCAGGCTATGGGGCCAACCCTAAAAACATTTACTGAAATAAAATTCACATGCCATACAGTTTACCCACTGAAAGTTACAACTGGGGACCAGCAGCTGGTCTAGTGGTTACATCACTGGACTCCCATGTAGTCAACCACTGTTCAAGTCCCAGACCCAGTGGCTTAAAACTCACGCCGGGCACATGTGCATGCATGCGCAAAAAATCCCGAGAGGAGTATGGAGAAGGGATTGCAGTGTGGCCATCCCTCCTGGGGGCAGGGTGATTTCTTGCTTTCTCTCTCTCTGGTAAGTATACGTACCTTATAGCAAATAAATCTCACACACAAAAAAGAAAAGTTAAAACTGGACTAGCAGGTGGCGTGGTTAAGGCACTGGATTCCCACATAGTGGCCCACAGTTCACGTCCTGGGCCAATGGGTGGGTGTGTGCATGCCTAAATTCCAAGAGGAGCCTATAAAAGAGATTGTGGCATGGCCATCACTGCTGGGAGCAGGGGATAGATGGGGTGGGGGTGGTCTCTCACTTTACCCCTCTCGGGCAAATGCATGTGCCCTGTTGCAAAAACCTAAAAAAGAAAAGTAAGTTGAAACGTGGGCTAACCCGTGTAGTTAGATGGCTGGATTCCACATAGCTGACTGGTTTGAGTCCCAGACCAGGCAACTTGAGAAACAGGCTGATGTGTACATGTGCACACTCAAGATCCCACCGTGATGGAGAAAGGGAAGGGATTGCAGCATGACCGTGCCTCACAGGGGTGCATTCTTGCTTTCCCTCTCTCATCCATTGAGTGCATGCACCCTCTGACCAAAAAAAAAGAAGTTAAAATGATTGCATTTTAATTTAAATCAGTTTAATTGTACAAGACTGATTTATTAGGTGTGTAGGCCTTTTTAAGTGATTATGGAATATTTTCAAAAATTATCTTTACTGGGGACCAGCAGTTAGCGTAATAGCTATGTCGCTGAACTTGCATGTAGCTGACCGTGGTTCAAGTCCTGGACCCGGTGGCTTAAACTCATGCCAGGTGCGTGTGTGTGCATGCCCAAGATCCCGAGAGGAGAATGGAGGAGAAGGGATTGCGGCGTGGGAGGTGATTTCTTGCTTTCTATCTCTCTGTCTTTCTGGGAAGCACACGTACCCTATAGCAAAAAACCTCTCTGAAAAAAAAAAAAAAGATCTTTACTAAGTACACAGTGAATGTATTGATAAGCCTCAAACATAGATTATATCCTAATTACAACACAGCACACGAAGGTGGTCAGGAAAGTCACGACATATTTTTCAATGTTTTTCTTTGAAAAATGCATCATGACTTTCCCAATGACCCAACAGAATAACTAATGGTAAATTTAAAATGCCAGCAATGACAAATGAAATATTTTGAGTAGTTTTTGATCAGAAAAAAGTAAAATTGAGGGCCAGCCCTGTAGCATAGCAGTTGAGCCCTGTGCACAGGCAGCCAGATCCCACATGGCCAGCTGTCATTCAAATCCCAGCCCCAGGGACTTGAAGACACTCTGGACACGTGTGAGTGCGTGTCCTCAAATCCAGACAGGCTGGAGAAATGGGGAAAAGGGGCCACTGTGTAACCAGGCCCCACTGGAGAGGCCAGTTTCTGTCTTTCTGGCCAGCAGATGTCCTCTAGCGATTAAAAAAAGAAAAAGTAAAACTGAGAATGACATGTTGTTTAGAAAACAAAATAAGAGAGACCAGCAAATAGCGTAGTGGTTAACATCGCTGGACTCCTACATGGCCAACCGTGGTTCAAGTCCCAGACCTGGCAGCTTGAAACTGATACCAGGCACCTGTGCGCGCGTGCCCAAGATCCCAAGAGGAGAAGGGAGGAGAAGGGATTATGGCATGCCTATCCCCTCTTGGGGGTGATTTCTCGCTTTCTGTCTCTGTCTCTCTGGAGAGCACATGTGACCTATAGCAAAAATTGCTCTAAAAAAAAAAGAAGAAACTTATATAGCAAAGCCTGTATAATGAAACCAGTGATGTATTTATTTTTACTTTTTTTTTGTTTGAGAGAGAAATTTTTGCTACAGGATGTGTGCACTTGCCAGAAAGGCAGAAAGTGAGTAATCATCCCCCTGGGGGGATGGCCACACTGCAATCCCTTCTCCTCTCAAGATCTTGGCCACGTTCACATGCACGCATGCCTGGTGTGAGTTTTAAGCTGCCCGACCCGGGACTCGAACCGTGGTCAACTATGTGGGAATCCAGTGACTATAACCACTATACCATTTGCTGGTTCCACCAGTGATATATTTAAAAGTATATGTTTAATACATTTTTAGGGACCAGCAGTTAGCATAATGGCTATGTTGCTGGACTCCCATGTAGTCGACCACGGTTCGAGTCCCAGACCCTGTGGCTTAAACTCATGCCAGGCACGTGTGTGCGTGTGTGCCCAAGATCCCGAGAGGAGAATGGAGGAGAAGGGATTGCGGCGTGGCCAGCCCCCCTGAGGGGTGTGATTTCTCGCTTTCTATCTCTCTGTCTGTCTGGCAAGCGCACATGCCCTGTAGCAAAAACCTTTCCCGCGCCCCACCCAAAAATACACTTTTATTATGTAAAGAAGATAAAACAATAATCCAAAATGGTTCTTTGAAATCACCAAAATCAGTAATGTTCCAGCCAAACTAATTAAGAGAAACACCGAAATACACAGAATTTAAATGGAAAACGAGAGACGTGCATCTGCTAGTCCCAGTCATCGCATAGCTTTACCACACTCAGGGTGGTGTTTCAAATGCAATGTATATTTTTGAAATTCTCTTTTAATTTATACTACTATTTACGTTGGTCTCGATCTCTATCTCAGACCAAGGGCTTTTTTGGTAACGGGTCTAGAGAATGACTCCAGCCTGTGGAGGCTGCCCTAGATTTTGGTAAGTCCTTAGCATGTGTGAAACGCCAAGAACCTGACACACACAGTAGGACTGCTTCAGAGTAGAGACGGAGAAGCTGATTTGTTCACTGTGCTCCTCTCAGGAATCCGAGGTAGGATGACCCTAAAGTAGTAGCGGAGAAAGGAGAAAGAAGACCGTGCAGGCCTCACCCCTGCCTTCGATGCCATACCTGTTTTTAAAAGATCTCTTGTTTCCAGGAAACTTTAGACCCAGTGGACGAGGTTGCAGCCCTCATTGCAGCCACCATTCACGATGTGGACCACCCCGGGAGAACCAACTCCTTCCTGTGCAACTCCGGCAGCGAGCTGGCCATCCTGTACAACGACACGGCCGTGCTGGAGAGCCACCACGCCGCCCTGGCTTTCCAGCTGACCATGGGGGAGGACAAGTGCAACATCTTCAAAAACATGGAGAGGTGAGAGCGCCACGGGCCAGTGTGCCATTCGCTCTCGTTTTATGAAACCCACACCCTGTGCAGTGGTTTCTAAGCCCAGAGTCGTGTCCACCACAATACCTGGCATGATGCATGGACTCGGAACATATTTTCCCTCTTTATTTTTTTTGAGGGATTTTTGCTATAGGGCGTGTACACTCGCCAGAAAGACAGAAAGAGACAGACAGAATGCGAGAAATCACCCCCAGGTTGGATGGCCACGCCGCAGTCCCTTCTCCTTTCTCCTCTCGGGATGTTGGGCATGCACACACATGCACCAGGCCTGAGTTTAAGCTACCAGGTCCAGGACTCAAACCGTGGTCGACTGTGTGGGAGTCCAGCGACATAGCCATTACGCTAACTGCTGGTCCCCGCATTTTCCTACTTTAACTGATATTTTCATGAGGAATGTTTACTAACTTGAATATTTAAGATAAATTTTATATGGGATTTTTAAAAATATATATTATTTTTTTAATTTTCCATAGGGCACATGCACTCACCAGAGAGAAAGAAAGTGAGAAAGAAAGCCACCAGGTCTGGGACTCAAACAGCCGTCGGCCATGTGGGAGTCCAGCACCTTAACCACCACGCCATCAGCTGGCCCCGGATTCCTGACTTTACAAAACTTGCTTCTGCCATGTTCTAAGATTTCAGAAGTGGAGTTAAAATAGGTTTTACTAACATTTGCTGATAGACACACCAGGCATTTCTGTAAAGCTGCACACCTCTGCTGACTGGCTGCCTCCAGGGGAGGGACCGGGTGACTGCAGAAGAGGGGTGAAACAGACTGCGCGTCATTTTCTTCTGTGCCGTTTGCATTTTGAATGATGAGGATTGCCTCTTCAGAAATATGGTTTTTGAAATATGAAATAAGAGAAAGGCGACAGGGGGAGGTATTAAGTGCTCCCTGGGTGTCAGCCATCTGTCCTCGAAGCTTTCTGAGACTAGAGTTGGGTGTCCAGGTGCCCCATGTAGGGCAGCCCTTTGTAACCACATCCCGTTACTAGTCTTATTCACCCCTGCATGTTCTGTCCTGTTGGATTCCGTGAACCCGGGGCATCTTACTATCGAATGATGAAAAGACAAACCTCACAGCCGTAACTGCTTTTGCTTGTAACTTCTGTTCAGGTTCTCTCTGCCGGGGATCTGGGCACTAATCTGTAACGTGTGACTTGCGTTGGTGTCAGACTTGCAGCCACTGTGGATGTGGAGTCTGGATAACTGATTGTTTTCAGGAACACTTGTAGCCTCTTGTTTGTCATCTGAAACAGGAATGACTATCGGACGCTGCGCCAGGGGATTATTGACATGGTCCTTGCCACAGAAATGACAAAGCACTTCGAGCATGTCAACAAATTTGTCAACAGCATCAACAAGCCTTTAGCAGCACTGGAAAACGAGGTGAGGGAAGCTTATTGCAAGTAGCAGCAGTGTTTGGGGCCCTTACCACTCTGCGTTGTGCAGACAAACAGGTTAGGGTATCATGAACTGTGAAAGGGCTCCCTCGGGCCTTGCTGAATTTACTTTTCATTGGAGAAATGACCTAAAGTGCCACAACGTGGCAGGAAAAAAGTCAGGACATTCAAATAGATGCAAAAACTCTGAAAGGGAAGGTCCCGTTTCTGTTTTATTAATAGTGCGTGCACACATGCAAGAGAGAAACACCTTCCTTTCTGTGGTTAATGGGACCATGGCAGAGAGAGGGGCTTGGTACCAGCAGACCCATTTTGACTGCTTTGAATTCTAATTTTTTTTTTTTTTAGGAAACTGGTAAAGACCAGTAAGCCATAAATACTATGCTCAGGTCTCCAGAGAACCGGACACTAATCAAACGGATGCTGATTAAGTGTGCCGATGTGTCCAATCCTTGCCGTCCTCTCGAATACTGCATTGAGTGGGCTGCACGTATTTCAGAAGAATATTTTTCACAGGTAAGATACTGTCTCTAGAGAGAAACCATGAGACAGTCAGAGTTAAACTAGAAAACACAGTTCTAAGTGAAAGGATATTTCTTGTATTTTTACTGATAATGAGTTCTCTTGTTTTTCCTTCATTCTCGCAGGATATTTTCGCATCCAAGAGATTTAATCTTGGGATGACAGTTAGTTTCTAAAGGCACTTTAAAAGAGCTTTCTACCCTTCATATTCTCTCTGGGCTAGAAAAAAGTTTCTTGGCATGGTGAATGCACCACTCCCGCTGTGGCGCGGGAGAGAGAGAGAAGGAGAGAGGGTTGACTGAGGGGCTTGCTTTATGCTCAGGACTGTAGGTGTGTATAGGTCTGGCCGTGTGGGAGCCAGCCACAGGTCGCCCCGGTATGGTCATTTCTATAGGTGCAGGCGGAGCACTAGGCAATAGTCAACATCCATTCATTATAGAAACTCTAAACTCTTAGCAAACTGTAACTGAAAGGAACTGAAAGGGAATTACCTTTTTTTTTTTTTGTAAAGAAAGCATGTGCTCACCAGAGAGAAAATGAGAGATCATTCCCACGGGGATGGCCATCCCACAAGCCGTTCTCTTCCATTCTCCTCTCGGGATTTTGGGCACGCACACACATGCACCTGGCGTGAGCTCCAAGCCATTTCGTCTGGGACTGGTCGGCCACTTTGGAGTCCAGTGCCTTAACCACTACGCCACCTGCTGGTCCCAGTGGGATTATTTGGAAAGGGCATCTGTAAAAGCATTGAGCTCACATCATACTTAGTGGTGAGATACTGAGCATGCTCTCCTCAACCCTGGCAACGAGGCAAGGAGCAAGTGCGGACCACTTCTGCTCAGCCTGCGGTGCCTGTCACAGCAGGCAAGGTGGAAAGGCGATGATGGTAGTGACACGGTTTTTTAAGTGGAGGTCATAGACTCTAAGCTCAATATACTAAAGTCAGCTAAATTTTATACCTAGCAGCAAGTAGAAATTAAAATGAAACATAACTGCAATAAAATTGAAAAGCCAGAACTTTACAAGGAAACATTGCTGAGAAAGAACACCTGATTTAAGGAAGTTACCCACCACAGTCACATGTTGGAAAGCTCAGTGTGACCATTCAGTTCTCCAGTCGATGTGTCAGTGCAATCTCAATCAAAACCGATAAGAGTTGACAAAATGTGGACAATCTTGAATAAGCAAAGCACACTTGAAAAACAGAAGGTTTACATTATTTGGCTTCAAAATTAAAAGTTGGAAAGTGTATGGACAAGCAGGTAGCATAATGGCTATGTCACTGGACTCCCATGTAGTCAACTATGGTACAAGTCCTGGACCTGGTGGCTTAAACTCACTCCAGGTGCATGTGCGTGCCTGCCCAAGATCCCGGGAGGAGAATGGAGAAGGGATTGCAGCATGGCCATCCACCCTGGGGGGTGATTTCTTACCTCCTGTGTCTGTCTGTCATTCTGGCAAGTGCACACACCCTATAGTAAAAACCTCTCAAAAAAAAAATTGGACAGTATAGTACTGACGAAGATAACTCATCTGTGCAACGGACCACACTTATATATGGTCAGTGAGGGAAGTAAGTTCTTCTCATGAAAAAGTGGGAATCATTAGATACTCATTCACAACCGATCACAGACGTGTAGACAAAAGCAAAAAGAGAGCTTTATAGAGAACAACACGGCAGAACATTCTAAGTGACTTGAAAGTGAGCGCAGAATGTAACAACTATAAAAAAGAAAATGTGACAAATCAGACTTTCTAAAAATTCAGAAATTCTCATCCAGACCCAAGAAAATAAGGCAAGCCAGAACAGAAGAAAGTATTTACAAAACACACATGACAAGACTGTATGCTAAGTATATAAAGACAATACCTCGTGTTCAGCTGCACCGTACAGATCGCCCAGTTAAATATGGCCGCTACTTTAACCGATTATTCACACAAGATATTAGGAATGGACAGTAAGCACATAAACAATGGCCATTGGTATCGTTGAAATTCACATTAAAATCATAATGGAACACCAGTACCAGCGGAATGACTGAAAACACTACACCACATGCGGGTGCTGTGGAGGAACTAGAATCCACAAAGCAGTAATAGGTGTATAAAATGCTATAACCAAGTGGGAAGCACTGTGGAAGTTTTTCTTGCTTTCTTGTCATAAAATGCATATAACAACTGCTGCTGCCAGGGACAGTAAGGCTGCCAAGAGAAGCACGCTGGTGAAGGGACTGTCCTGGGGCCATGCAGCCGGATGCCTGTCTTAAAGTCACACCCTCTCCTCCTTTGCAGACAGATGAGGAAAAGCAGCAGGACTTACCTGTGGTGATGCCAGTTTTTGACAGAAACACCTGCAGCATCCCCAAGGCCCAGATCTCTTTCATTGACTACTTCATCACAGACATGTTCGATGCCTGGGACGGTAAGCTATCTCACAACATACTAGCCTTTAAATAACAGAAGTGCATGTAAGTAGCAAATAGCGCATTGACCCTGGAAGCCCTTTCAAGGCTTAGACTTCGTAGAGTGAAGAGAAGAAATGAAGCATCACTAAGGGCCCTGTCAAGACAAAGAGGTCAAGGCCAGTAGTTCGTCACATGACAAAAGCATGTTGAAGTTGACACACATGTCCAAATTGAAATACATTTCAGAATTGACATGTGTCCAAAATGACACATGTCAAAATTGACATGTGTCTGAAATGACACACGTGCCACAGACATGAGAGAAATGATACACATTTCAAAAATGACACGTGTCAAAATCGACATGTGTCCAAAATGACATACTTGTCACAGTTGACACATATGCCCAAAATGTGTTTCAAACTACATACGTGTCACATGTCGGAAATGGCATGTGTGTTGAAAAATGACGTGTCACATGTCAGAAATGACATACGTGCCACATGTCAGAAATGGCATGTCAGAAATGACGTGACACGTCAGAATTTACATGCGTGTTACATGTCAAAATGAGTCACATGTCAAAAATGACATGCGTGTCAAAATGGCATCTGTCACATGTAAAAAATGACGTGTCGCGTGTAAAAATGACGTGTCAGAAATGGCATGCATGTCGCATGTCAAAAATGACATGCGTGTTGCATGTCAGAAATGACGTGTCAGAAATGGCATGCATGTCGCATGTCAAAAATGACATGCGTGTTGCATGTCAGAAATGACGTGTCAGAAATGGCATGCATGTCGCATGTCAAAAATGACATGCGTGTTGCATGTCAGAAATGACGTGTCAGAAATGGCATGCATGTCGCATGTCAAAAATGACATGCGTGTTGCATGTCAGAAATGACGTGTCAGAAATGGCATGCATGTCGCATGTCAAAAATGACATGCGTGTTGCATGTCAGAAATGACGTGTCAGAAATGGCATGCATGTCGCATGTCAAAAATGACATGCGTGTTGCATGTCAGAAATGACGTGTCAGAAATGGCATGCATGTCGCATGTCAAAAATGACATGCGTGTTGCATGTCAGAAATGACGTGTCAGAAATGGCATGCATGTCGCATGTCAAAAATGACATGCGTGTTGCATGTCAGAAATGACGTGTCAGAAATGGCATGCATGTCGCATGTCAAAAATGACATGCGTGTTGCATGTCAGAAATGACGTGTCAGAAATGGCATGCATGTCGCATGTCAAAAATGACATGCGTGTTGCATGTCAGAAATGACGTGTCAGAAATGGCATGCATGTCGCATGTCAAAAATGACATGCGTGTTGCATGTCAGAAATGACGTGTCAGAAATGGCATGCATGTCGCATGTCAAAAATGACATGCGTGTTGCATGTCAGAAATGACGTGTCAGAAATGGCATGCATGTCGCATGTCAAAAATGACATGCGTGTTGCATGTCAGAAATGACGTGTCAGAAATGGCATGCATGTCGCATGTCAAAAATGACATGCGTGTTGCATGTCAGAAATGACGTGACACGTCAGAATTTACATGTGTGTTACATGTCAAAATGAGTCACATGTCAAAAATGACATGCGTGTCAAAATGGCATCTGTCACATGTAAAAAATGACGTGTCGCGTGTAAAAATGACGTGTCAGAAATGGCATGCATGTCGCATGTCAAAAATGACATGCGTGTTGCATGTCAGAAATGACGTGTCAGAAATGACATGTGTCGCATGTCAAAAATGACATGCGTGTCACATGTCAAAAACGACATACGTGTCAGAAATGACATACGTGTCGTATGTCAAAGATGACATATATGTCAGAAATGACATACGTCTTTTTCTTGCTTTCTTGTCATAAAATGCATATAACAACTGCTGCTGCCAGGGACAGTAAGGCTGCCAAGAGAAGCACGCTGGTGAAGGGACTGTCCTGGGGCCATGCAGCCGGATGCCTGTCTTAAAGTCACACCCTCTCCTCCTTTGCAGACAGATGAGGAAAAGCAGCAGGACTTACCTGTGGTGATGCCAGTTTTTGACAGAAACACCTGCAGCATCCCCAAGGCCCAGATCTCTTTCATTGACTACTTCATCACAGACATGTTCGATGCCTGGGACGGTAAGCTATCTCACAACATACTAGCCTTTAAATAACAGAAGTGCATGTAAGTAGCAAATAGCGCATTGACCCTGGAAGCCCTTTCAAGGCTTAGACTTCGTAGAGTGAAGAGAAGAAATGAAGCATCACTAAGGGCCCTGTCAAGACAAAGAGGTCAAGGCCAGTAGTTCGTCACATGACAAAAGCATGTTGAAGTTGACACACATGTCCAAATTGAAATACATTTCAGAATTGACATGTGTCCAAAATGACACATGTCAAAATTGACATGTGTCTGAAATGACACACGTGCCACAGACATGAGAGAAATGATACACATTTCAAAAATGACACGTGTCAAAATCGACATGTGTCCAAAATGACATACTTGTCACAGTTGACACATATGCCCAAAATGTGTTTCAAACTACATACGTGTCACATGTCGGAAATGGCATGTGTGTTGAAAAATGACGTGTCACATGTCAGAAATGACATACGTGCCACATGTCAGAAATGGCATGTCAGAAATGACGTGACACGTCAGAATTTACATGCGTGTTACATGTCAAAATGAGTCACATGTCAAAAATGACATGCGTGTCAAAATGGCATCTGTCACATGTAAAAAATGACGTGTCGCGTGTAAAAATGACGTGTCAGAAATGGCATGCATGTCGCATGTCAAAAATGACATGCGTGTTGCATGTCAGAAATGACGTGTCAGAAATGACATGTGTCGCATGTCAAAAATGACATGCGTGTCACATGTCAAAAACGACATACGTGTCAGAAATGACATACGTGTCGTATGTCAAAGATGACATATATGTCAGAAATGACATACGTCTTCTGACATGTGACACGTATGTCATTTCTGACACGTGTGTAATTTCTGACATGCGACACGTGTGTCATTTCTGACACATGTGTCATTTCTGACACGTGTGTCTTTGACATGCGACGAGCGTGTCATTTTGACACGCATGTCATTTCTGACATGCGACATGCATGTCGTTTCCGACACGCATGTCATTTCTGACATGTGACACGTCAATGGCATGTGACACATCATATTTGACATGTGACACGTATGTCATTTCTGACACGTGTGTCATTTCTGACACGTGTCATTTCTGACATGCGAAACGTTTGTCATTTCTGACATATGTCATTTTTGACATGCGACACGCATGTCATTTCTGACATGTGACACACGTGTCATTCTTGACACGCGACACGCATGTCATTTTTGACATGCATGTCCTTTTTGACATGCCACACGTATGTCATTTTTGACATGCAACACGCATGTCACCTTTGACATGTGACATGCATGTCATTCCTGACACATGTCGTTTCTGACATGTGACTTATGTCTTTTTTGACACGCATGTCACTTGACATGTGACGCGTATGTCAATTTCGACATGTGACACGCATGCCATTTCTGACATGTAATACACATGTCATTTTTGACATATATGTCGTTTTTGACATGTGACACATCATTTTTGGCGTGCATGTCTTTACACATTTGTCATTATGACATATGTTATTCATGACATGGGTGTCAGAAATGGCATGCGTGCCACTTACATGTCAGGAGTGACATGGGTGCCAGAAATGACATACGTGCCATTTACATGTCAGAAATGATACGCGTGTCAGTAATGACATACGTGTCAGTTATATGTCAGAAATGACATGTGTGTCAGAAAAGACGTGTGTCAAAAATGATGTCACTTACATGTCAGAAATTACATGCATGTCGGAAATGAGATACGTTTCAGAAATGGCATGCATGACACGTGTCAAAATTGACATGCGTGTCAGAAAGTACTTTTGTCCAAAATGACACACATGTCCAAAATGACATACATGTCAAGATTGACATGCATGTCCAAATGGCATACGTGTCACCGGCATGTAAGAAATTACACACATGTCAAAATTGACACACGTGTCTGAAATGATATGCATTTCAAAATGTTCTAGGCATGTTAGAAATGACAGATGTATCCAAGTTTACGTGTCAGAAACATGTGTCAAAATTGACATGTGTCCGAAAAGACACGTGTCGCAGGCATGTCAAAGACGACACACGTGTCCAATGTGACACATGTGTCACAGGCCTGTTAGAAATGACACGTGTCCAAAATGACGTGTCACAGGCATGTCAGAATTGACACATTGTTCAAATTGACACACGTGTCACAGGCATGTCAAAATTGACACACATGTCCAAATTAACTTTGTCCTGCAGTATTAAGACAGTGATTCTGTCTGTTGACCTGTTGATTTTGCATACTGACACTTTCCTGAATTGATCTATTCTTAGAGTGTTTGGGTGAAGTGTTTTGCTCTTTCTGGCTGGGACTTCTAGTACCATCCTGAACAGGAGGGGTAAACATGGACCTTTTGGGCTCAGGTCTTGGACAACTTTCAGCTTTTCCCCAGTAGGTATTCCCCACTAGGTATGATGTTAGCTTTGGGTTGTTCCGGATGGCCCTACTGTGCTGAAGTATGTTCCTTCTGTCCCTCATTTATTTCTGGGAGAATGGGGACTTTGGTAGACCCTAAGCCCCGTGGCTCACTGCTTCCATGTAGTACCTGAGAGGTGGGGTGTGGGGCACACAGAGGAGCTGGCCACTGTGCGAAGCTGAGGGAACACTGCCTCCTGTGGACTGGCTGCCCCTGCCCTGAGGTGCTAGTAAACGGTCACTAGAGCCTGAAACCTCCTTTTTCTGTAGCCTTTGTAGACCTACCTGATTTAATGCAGCATCTTGACAATAACTTCAAATACTGGAAAGGACTGGATGAAATGAAGCTGCGGAGCCTCCGACCACCTCCTGCAGAGTGTGGGACACCGCCCAGACCCTGATGCTTTGTCCCTCGGCCATTTGGAATTCCTGAGGGCAGAATTCCTCCGTCCTTTCAGCATTAGGCAGGTCTGCCCTCTGGGCTGCAGAGCCCGTGAAAGCACAAGGGGACACCATGACCCTCTGCAACCACCGTCCGATGCCATTGCCACAAAGTGAGACTTGGCCCTGCTGCAGGGGCTTTCAGAAAGGCACAGAACCACGGTTTGCGTCAGTTGTGTGGGAAAACACCAGGTCTGCAGTCCCCGCCAAGGGTGTTGAAGGCCCTCCTGTCAGTGACAGAGAAAGACTGTCTCACTGCAAACCGTTTCTCTCCATTATGGCCAGCACCGAAGAACAGCTCATGGCAATCGGACCTTCGGCAAACGTTTTCACATCCTAGAAGGTGCAATCACTCACTCGAACACTACTGAAAGTAACTTCTTTTAAAATTGAGTATCAAATGAAACGTAAATTTCGAGGTTGATTATCAATTATTGAAATGTTTTATTTATTTTATTACAAGTTCAATATTTTCTATGAATTTAAAACTACTTTAAAGCCAAAGCCAACTTTAGATGCCATGACTAAATTTACATGATTCATATTCATTAAATCTGCATTACTTGGTGTATAGAGTTATTTTCATAATGCAAATTTATAAAATGACACTTATATAGAAATAGCCACGTATGTTAAACTTGTTTCTGACTGAAGCTGATTGGAAAAGCTGTTGCTGAGCCTTCTCCTAGAGGATTACAGGGGAAGGCCTTCTTACTGTCTGGAGCCAGGCTGTGAACCAGCTCCCTGTCAAGGAGCTTTGCTGGTGACTCCCAAGGTATAAAACTCTTGATTTGCAAAGAATACTTAAGACTTCAAACTTTTTCCTAAAATTTTCTAATTGAATTTCCAGAAACCTGCCTTATTTTATACTGTTTCTATGAAATATTCCATATAAAAACTAAGAACCAAAGTGGAATATTTAACGAATTGACATTTTATAAACAACCTGTTTTCATCTGCAGTGGGAATCTTTATTCCAGAAATTTAAAAATGTTCCATATTTTTACATTTTGAATAAAAATATCATTTAAAAAAATGACACTTGACACTTCCAAGTATTTTGTTTTAAAACTGCATTTTTTCCAGATAAAAATGAAATTAAACTATTTGTTTTTAAGAAATCATGTGTCCTCTTTGGTGTTTTATCTTAGAATGCTCAATCTTATTTTTTAAAGAATTATTAGTACTGGGACCAGCAGATGGTGTAAAGGTTACATCTCTGGATTCCCACATAATTGACTGAAGTTAAGTGCCAGACCTGGCAGCTTAAAACTCATGCCAGGCGCACGTGTGTGTGTGTGTGTGTGTGTGTGTGTTCCCCAAAATCCTGGGAGGAGAATGGAGGAGAAGGGACTGCGACATGGCCATCCCCTGTGGGAGGGTGATTTTTCACTTTGTTTTTCTGTCTCTCTGGCAAGCGCACATGCCGTATAGCAAAAACAACTGAGGAAAAAAACAGTACCAAGGCACTAACCACATCAGTATTGATAAGAGGATGAGGAAATGAGAACTTTCGAAATCAATGGTAGAATGTAAGATTGGGGCAGCTACTTTGGAAAGCACTTTGGTAATCATGTGTTAGAATTCTTTAAGTCAGCTACTTAATTTCTAGTTCCTAGCAAAATTTCCAAATGTACATAGACATGCTCAAGAAAACTCTAGAATTCTGTTGTAGTATAAAGAGGGAAGCAATCTAAACATTCTTAGTAAAAGCATGAATAAAGAAATTATAAAGAATAAACAAGTTATATAAGCAGATTATAGCATTTTGTGGTAGGTTCTAAAATGATTTCTAATAAACTCTGCCCCTTGAATTAATAACTTAGGGCTGTACCTAGGGACTTGGTTCTAACCAAGGGGAAATGGCAAAATTAACGTCACTTCTAAGACTTAGCCACAAAGGAAGGCACATGAGCTTCCTAGGACTGCTGTAACAGTACCACACACCGGGTGGCTTCAAACATTTATTCTTACGGTTCCTCAAGCCAGGTGTCTGGCGTCAAGGAGTCAGCAGGGTTGGTCCTTCTGAAGGCTCTGTGCGAGAAACCACCCCATGCTTGTTCTCAGCTCTGTGTAGCTGCCGAGAGCCCTGCTCTTCCCTGGCTGGCAGCTCATGGCCTCGGCCTCTGCCTCCCTATGGCTTTACTCTCTGTGTCCTCTGGTATGGGGACTGGTGACTGAATTCAGGTCTCATCACACGGTCCTTAACCAAGTATCTCTGCAAAAGGCCCTGCTTCAAGGAGGCCACATTTTGAGGTTTTGTGGGTCACCCTCCATCTTGTTCTTGCTCTGCTGAAGCAAGCGGCCATCATTGTGGGCTGCTCTATGGAGAGGCCCTGCGGAGCCTGCAGCTCACATCCCACAAGGAGCTGAGTCCTGTCAGCCATGGGAGTCGGAAGCGGATCCGCCCCAGTCAGGCCTTCGCCGGGACCACTGCTCCCGTACGCACACGGGTACGGGCATTCCTCACCGTACGGCAGGTTCCATTGCAGACCTCAGCCATGCACATATCCCCGAGAAAGCAAGCCGCGTGCACCTTCTGGGTTCCCAGGACATACAAGAGGTATGTTACACTATGCTGTACTCAATTAAGTGTGCAATAGCTTTACCTTTAAAATAAAAAAAGTACGTACCTTAATTTCAAACACTTCAGTGCTTAAAAAAAGTTAATTATCTGAGCCCTCAGCCAGTTAACCCTTTCGCTGGTCAAGGGACTTACCTGTGTTGAGGGTTGCTGGCTGACCATGGTTGTTGAGGATGAGGGTGACTGTGGCAATTTCTTAATAAATATCATTTTTTAAAAAGAATGATTTATTTAATTTTATTTATTCATTCATTTTATTTTTTAATGAGACCAGGAAGACACAGAGAGAGAGAGTGTGAGAGAGGGAAAGTGAGAAAGCAAGCTACCAGGTCCGAGACTTGAACCGTGGCCGGCCATGTGGGAGTCCAGTGCCCTTATCCACCACGCCACCTGACGGCCCCAATATCATCATTATTTTAATTGGACTAGAGAGAGAGAAGGGTAAAGTGAGAAAGCAAGCCACCAGGTCTAGGACTTGAACCACAGTCAACCACGTGGAAGTCCAACCCCTTAACCACCATGTCCCCTCCCAGCCCCCAAATTGTGGCAGTGTTTTAAGAGGACAGTGCAGTTTGCTGCAATGACTGAAACCTCTTCCCAAGATTTCTCTGTAGCTCAGGGTGGATAGGATTTGCCTACCCACGTAGAGCTTCTTTCGAAAATGATAAAGTTCATCCTCTCAGGTCTTTATGCTATTTTTATCAACTACTTTCACGTGACGGTCTAATTCCTGAGTTGTCATTTCCACAGTGGTCACAACATCTTCACCAGAAGCAGCTATTGTCCCCACAGCAACTCAGCAATTCAGTCGTATCTCCAGGATCCACTTTTTTTTTTTTTTTTTTTTTTTTTTTGTGGTGTTTTTTTTGCTATGGGGCGCGTGCGCTCACCAGAAAGACAGAGAGAGAAAGAGAGAAATCACCCCCCCAGGGGGAATGACCACGCCGCAATCTCTTCTCTATTCTCCTCTCGGGATCTTGGGCACGCACCCACATGTGCCCAGTGTGCGTTTAAGCCACTGGGTCCAGGACTTGAACCGCGGTCGACTACATAGGAGTCCAGTGACATAGCCATTACGCTGACTGCTGGTCCTTCCAGGCTCCACTACTAATTCTATTTCTCTTGCTATTTTCCACATCTGCATTTATTTCTTCACTGAAATCTTAAACCCCTCAGTCGCCCATGAGAGCTGGAATTAGCTGCTTCCAAACTCCTGTTAACGACATTATGACCTCCTCCCAACGAATCAGTTTTTTCATTTTTTATTTTTATTTTATTTTATTTATTTATTGCTATAGGGGACGGCCACACTGCAATCCGTTTTCCTCTATGGGTTTGGGGCACGTGTGCCCAGTGTGTTTTTCAGGCCGCCAGGTCCAGGACTTGAACTGCAGAGTTGGCCATGTGGGATCTAGCACATTAACCACCATGCCACCCACTGGCCCCAGAATCGTAACTTTAAGTTTTGGGTTTTTTCCATAGGGTACATGCAATCACTAGAGAGAGAGAGAGAAAGTGAGAACTCACTCCCCAAGAGGGATGGCCATACTGCAGTCCTCCTCTCAGGACTTTGTACCTGGCATGATTTTCAAGCTGCAGGGTCAAGGACTTGAACCCTGGTCAGCCATGTGGGAGTACAGTGCCTTAACACCCATGCCACCTGCTGGCCCCCTGCTGGCCCCGAAGATGTGTGTGGGGTTTGTGGGTTTTTTTTTTTTAGTTTTTATTTTGGGGCACTTGGTCAGGAGAGAGAAGGAAAGTGAGAAGTTGCCCCCCGAGGGATGGCCATACCTCAATCCCTTCTCCATTCACCACCTCTGATTTGGGGCATGCACACACGGGGGCCAGGACTCGAACCATGCAGCCAGCGATGTGGGATCCAGCTCCTTAACCTCCACATCACCCGCTGACCACCTCCCGCCAAATGTTTTTTAATGGCATCTAGAATAGTAAATTCATTTAGAAAACATTTCGATTTACTTGCTCAGACCTATCAGAGATAGCTATGGCAGTTACAGCCTTATAAAAAGTTTTCTATGTCTGGATTAAATGGCCCTTCTGCTTAAAAAAATTTTTATTTAAGGTTTTTGCCATAGGGTGTGTGCACTCACCAGAGACAGTGAGAAAGAAAGAAATACACCCTGGGTGGAGGACCACGCCACAATCCCATCTCCTCCGTTCACCTGGGGTTTGTGGCACACATGTGCCTAGCATGATTTTTTTTTCTTTTTTTGGAGAGGTTTTTGCTATAGGGCGCCTGCGCTCGCCAGACAGACAGAGAGAGACAGAGAGACAGAAAGCGAGAAATTACCCCCCAGCAGGGATGGCCACGCCGCAATCCTTTCTCCTCCATTCTCCTCTCGGGATCTTGGGCATGCACGCACACGTGCCAGGTGTGAGTTTAAGCCACCGGGTCCAGGACTCAAACCGCGGTCGACTACGTGGGAGTCCAGCGACATAGCCATATGCTAACTGCTGGTCCCCTGCCTAGCATAATTTTTAAGCCACTGGACCTGGGACTCGAACTGTGGTTGGCCATGGGGGAATCCAGCGCTGTAATTGATGCCACCTGCTGCCCCCTCCCCAAAAGAAGTATTTATTTCTTAACTAAGACTTGAGGGCCAGCCAGGTGGACTCCCAGCCAGGTCCCGCAGAGCCGACTGCACAGTTTGAGCCCCAGACTCGGCAATCTGAGACACTGAACCGGTGCATGTGTGTGTGCCCAAAATCCTGAGAGGAGACCGGAGGAGGGGGTGACAGCACGGCACCCCTATAGTGCACTACAGCAAGTATTCAGTAGGCCATGCTGTAAAACACAAGAGCACACTTAGACAGTCTTAAGGGGACCAGCAGTTGGCGTAATGGCTGTGTCGCTGGACTCCCATGTAGTCGACCGCGGTTCCAGTCCCGGACTCAGTGGCTTAAACTCACGCCGGGCATATGTGTGTGCCCAAGATCCCGAGAGGAGAATGGAGGAGAAGGGATTGCGGCATGGCCATCCCCCCACTCGGGGGGGTGGTTTCTCGCTTTTTGTCTCTCTGTCTGTCTCTGTCTCTTTGGTGAGCGCAAGCGCCCTGTAGCAAAAACCTCTCAACAAAAAATAAATACTTAAAGCCACCCGCGCAGCCCCTAATGAGAGAGTCTGCCTGTTCGTGGGAGCTCGGAGTCAGCGCCCTCTGACCCGGAGCGGATTTACGTGAAATGGACACACGGTATCGGGGTGCGCCGCGGGATGGTCATGTGCCAGACAGACAGAGAGAGACAGAGAGACAGAAAGCGAGAAATTACCCCCCAGCAGGGATGGCCACGCCGCAATCCTTTCTCCTCCATTCTCCTCTCGGGATCTTGGGCATGCACGCACACGTGCCAGGTGTGAGTTTAAGCCACCGGGTCCAGGACTCAAACCGCGGTCGACTACGTGGGAGTCCAGCGACATAGCCATATGCTAACT